CTTTCCTCGGGAGATTGCATTAACTGAAAATCAAAGTTCGAAGTGTGGTGAGCTTTGGAATCAGAAACGTCTTCTTAGACTTTCAAACCAGGGGGCTCTCAGAGCCTGCGTGAGAGCCAACGAAAACGCTCATTGCAGCGCTTGTGCAAACGTACCTGCTGCTGTAAGTGCAGCTGGTGGGTCTTACGCTGTTGGTCCCTGCTTTCAAACTAGAACAATTTTGCTGGCTATTGCATCGGTTCTGCTTTTTCTTTGCACTTGACTTGACCTTGCACAGTTGAAAATTGTATTGTTTTGATACTAGAGCCGCATTTGGCTCTTTGGGATGGTGGGAGCTGCCGCATTTACATGCTTTGTTTGCTTTGTCAACTCTGGCCATTTGTCACTTCGGCTTCTTCTGCGGCTTCTTCTGCGCCCTTGAAAATTTCTTTCTCTCATCTCATTCGTGTGCATGAGTGTGTGTGTGTGAGGTTCGGGGCTTTGGATGCTGCTCTTGGTCCAGGCGAAACCGGCCGACCGCGTCCAACGGCCGACGGAAGCTGACACCGTCCTACTTCGAGTGGTGGGGGGGGTGACCGATGAAGCCACTGAAACGAATGGGTTTAAGGGAAAATCTGGAAGCCCATCCTGCCGTTGGGTGAAAACCGTGGTTTCCTGTAGATGTTCCCTTAAACCAATTCATTCAGAAACAAACCCAACACGTCCTGTCCTTATGGATCCACCCTCTGACGGGGTCCTTTTTTTGAGACATGTGTAAATTAGGCCAATGTGTAGATGTGTGCACGTGTAGAGTGTGGCCTCTCAAGAACTCTTGGCACGACGGTTTTTGTCCACAAGAAGAACCAAAACGGCAGGAGCGTGAACTTGCTCGCGGTGGGTGAGGCTGCTGAGCAGCTCAAAAAAAGAACCTCTTCTACCCATCCTTCCAGGCATCGTGTGATCCTAAATCCCGGTGCCGCGTAGCGACCGTCTCTGTTGACTGATAAGACACCTGCCGAGAAAAAGCTCCAAAAGGGATCACATGGCAGGATCACACTGGTCAGGGGCCATAAGGCCCCATTCGCCGAAGGGACTCCTCTCTAAGAATCTAGAAAAGGCAACGTCCGGCAGGACCATGACAAGGAGGAACTAGTGCAGCTTCCAATCTGGGTGCTCCAGGGCTGGTCGTCCGGCCCAGAGCGACAAGATAAGGATCCGCCAAAAGCCTTGGACCTAAGAGGGCCTCATCCTCCACATGAGTCTATCTCCAAAAGGGCCCCGCAACCAACGCCTTGGAGTGCTATACGCTAGACGATCTTGATTCTTGTGCCATTGGCTTGTTGTAGCTTCGAATCCCTCTCTGACCAGTTTCCTTTCGTCCCCCGAAGTGTCCCACCCCATGTCGCAGCTCACTCAGCGCCCCCTTGAACGTCCCTCACGGGGCCAAGCACGCGGGGTGTCTGGCCTGCTCAGCATCTGACAACAGAAACGCCTCACTGCTCGGGAGATGCTCCATATGGTCCTGGCAGAAGGTCCCTCGCGGCTCGGGAGAGGCTCAGAGGGTGCTTGGAGTCCACCGAGTTCAACAACCACCAGCGTCCGACTTCTATATCATATACCCAGACGCTCCGTTCACAGCCCAAACCCCTCCATATGAGGGTCTGACCCCTCCAAAGGATTCCGGGCCGAACGGGTTGCCGGGTAGAACCCAGAAAACCGGTCGCCGCGCAGCCTCACGCTGTCGCCGGGCTCCTTGTAGACCGACCAAGAGAGGTAGGCGCCCAGCATTTCGAGAATGGGCCCGACAAACGTCAAGAGGCGCCCTAGAAACATGTACCACGGCCTGTAGTCGCTTCGCGACTGTTGCGCGCACGCGAGTCAGAGAGTTTCCGCAGCTTTTTGGGCGGGGGCGGACGTCCAGTGGATTGGTTGGGTGGCGTGCGTCGTCGTTTTTCTCGTGGGGGCAAGGGAAGGTTATAGACATACCAGGACCCTCCTGTCGGGGTGCCCTGAATGGAAGGCTAGGCCGGTAGTGTGGGGTAGTCCAGCCAGGACACCAGGGTCGGAGGGTCCTGGGTGGTTCAAACGACGTCTCCGGTCATCTCTCCAGCCGAATGTCCCAGCACCACATGGGGGTGCGTATTGAACATGATTGAACTAGGGGAGACTCTTGTGGTCCAATCAGTGTGGGTCGTTCGTGTCCTTCTTTACAGGGGCGCTGCCATGAAAGCAGGGTGCTTTCAAGAACCCCCCATGAAAGCAGGGTTCTTCGATGACCGGACATACCTGGGACACCACCAAAATGGTGGTGCCATCCACTTCCATGTGAATGACTAGGAGACTAGGATCTTCTCTATCAACAGGTCTTGTGCATAGGCTGTTGATGTATCATTGAGCTTCCCTCCACTGCAGAGCCCCCTCATCTCGAGCCTTTGATCACACTACCGTGCTACAGCATGATCCCCAACAACTCCCATCCGGTCGCGAGCGGCTCCCTCACTCCCAGCTCCCTCACTCTCACTGCTCCCTCTGTGGTCCCCGGGCTGCTTCTGGAAGAAGAAGTCCCATTGGGTTCGAAGTCCCAAGGCAAGCACCTGAGTTTCAAAACTACCGCAAAGCACTGGAAAAAGCTTGGTGAGCCTTTTTTTATCTACAGTTCATGAAGAAGTTCATCAAAACCAGCAGGGAGTAATATGGACAATTTACCTGAAAAAGAAGCTGTGCAGTGGTTTCTTTCCACCCGCACGTCACGAAGTCCTCGTGCGATCTAACGATCGGTGGCCGCACGGAGCGCCCTGAGTGCCCTGAGTGCCCTGCCAGGAAGCCATCCAGGATGGCGTTCAGAAACCTCGCTTGCTTCTGAAGCCATGGGATGGCGGGTCAAAAAAATAAGATGTGTTTAAACCCCCTTACTAGTAGTAACAAGTGCCACGCTACTAGGAACAAGTGCCTTACTAGTAGTAACAAAGAACGCTACGTTCGGGGCTCCTGGCATTTGTTTGCCCTTTGATCCACCCTTTGGAGGGTTCACGGCGGCCACGCGGCCGGGTGAAAACCACTTCGAAGCTGCGATCACTTGAGCCCATGAATACCAAGGATTTGTCCAGGAATGTGTCAGCTTTGGGCCCAACTGGAAAATTACTGCCCTCCACTTCGGTGTTCGATTTCTTCTCACTCGCCCCTCGAAACCAGGTCGGCCTTGAGCCCTTCTTCAACCAAGACCTAAGAGACAAGTGGGACCTGCAGAACCCTGGCGGGGGGTTTTGCTGGGTTTTTCCTGCTTCCGGGCACGTGAACCTGGCCCATCTTTTGAGCTACAGCTACACACGCAGGACCCTGCAGCCAGGTGTCAGGATCATCGCCAGGCAAAGCAGCCAGGCGATATTCATTCCTTTCCTCAGGAGCTTGGCACCCGCTCGACACGCACCGCGCCCGCGAGAAAATTTTGCGCTGTTCGCTCGACACGCCCCTTGCGTCCGGACGCCTTCTCTTGCTCAGTGAATGGAGACCCAGACATGACCTCAAAAGACCCTAGACATGTGTGGGTGGTGGTCCAAATAGAGGTCGAGCTCAGGTTCCAGGCAGTTCATGGAGACCTTTTGGGTGATTCTCGAATCCAATCCTTCCATGCATGCCACATGCAACAAGGTCGTTCCATGGTCGGAGGCTGATGATCCATGGCAGAACGAAGTCGGACGAAGAAAAAGGGCTTTGTAGACTGCAGGATCCACTGGGTCCAGCACGGTGCTTTTCGCCACGCCATGTCTGTTCTGGGACCGTTGGCTCCACGCCCATGCACCCGAGCCATTGCGCCCCGACGAGTCGCCGAATCGCCATATAGCCAATGAGCACCTAAACCAGATGGGCGAAGTGCATGTTCCGTTTTAGCCTCTCGAAACCACGTGTTCTTCCCTCTCAAAACCAAGGGGTTCTAGAAACTATGGTTTAGAAATCCAAATCCCCATCGGACATGTGACCATTTAAACCTCGGTTTCAAAGAACAAAAACCACGGGATGTCGGATTGTAAGGCTGCGGGCAATCCGACCTCCTTCCACCGCTGGCGACGAAATCATCATGAAAGCGGAGTGAGTTCACCACCTGTTTGGTGGGATTTCATGATCATCCCAAATAAATGAGGGCCATGCCACGTAGTACCCATGATTCTTCCACGTAACGTGCGGTCTTCCTTTCTTCAATGCGCACAGGTGGACCACGGCGAACGGGCGAAGGTCCCAGGTCGCTCCAGTCGCCGGGTCGGCTTCGCTTGCGGCAGCGATGTGCAAAAAGTGGTGTAGCTTCTTGTTACTACTAGTAAGGCACTTGTTACTAGAAGCGATG